CTGGGTTGCCTTGTACAGCCTTAATACATGAGGAGGTGCTTAGTCTTACTGAAACTTGATATGCTATGTTTGGTTGATATCCATGGGAGATCTGTCTGTTTGTGAACAGAAACAGGAGTGGATAGGGGGTGGAAGAGGGGAGGTGGGGGGTGGGGTAGGAGGAGAGAAGGGAGAGGAAATTGCGGTAGGGATGTAAAAAACCAAAACAAATTAAAACCACTTAAAAAATTAAGTTGTCATTAATGCAAACTAATTTGTTTAATCTAAGATGTTAGTTGTAATCCTTAATTCCTAATGATATTCTTCTATTGTCATCAGAGAAGCATTGTCCAACAACTGATGGGAACAGATACAGAGACCCACAGCCAAACACTAGACAAAGCCAGGGGAACCCCATATAAGAAGGGGAGGAAGGACTGTAGGAACCAGAGGGAGTGTTGAGGAAACCACAAGAACACAACAGAATCAATGAAGCAGGGCGCATGGGAGCTCACAAAGATTGAAATGACAAACACAGACCCTATATGAGTCTGAGCTAGGTCCACTGCATATATGTTATGGTTGTGTAGCTTTGTGTTCTTGTGGGACTCCTAACAGTGGGAGTGGGGGTTGTCCCTGACTCCTTTGCCTGCTCTTGGAATCCTTTTCCTCCTACTGGAAAGCCTCATCCAGCCTTGATATGAGAGTTTGTGCCGAGTCTTCTTGTAGCTTATTACTATGTGTTCAACTGATATCCCTGGGAGGCCTGCTCTTTTTTTTTTTTTTTTTGGAAGGGAAATGGGGGACAGGGAAGGTACAGGTGGGAGGGGATGGTAGTGGAGGTAGGGGAAACTGCTTTTGGGATGTAAATTATAAGTCCGTAAAGAATAAAAAAAAGATAATCAGGACTGGAATAAAACACACACACACTGATGAGGGTGGGAGGGGGAATCAAAAAGTTAATTAAAATGACATACTAGACAAAACTAATTCCATAAATGAACGAATAAAATAATAGATGTAAATCCTATCTTATCAAAATAACCCAATACATTAAAATAAGCAAGCTAAAAACCTCAATCAAAAAGGCATGAGAAGCTATACCCATAAAGTCTCAATAATATGGCTGCCTAAATAAGACCTGCATGATACAACCACTAGCTGACATGCCAACCAATATTTGCAACACTAAACAGATTGAGCAGGTTTTGTATATAAACACACACACACACACACACACACACGCACATCAATTAATGTATGTTTATATATAAATGTTGTGCAAGACTATATGGACTGAGCAGGTTTTATATATAAACAAAAATACAAACACACACACACACACACACACACACACACACATACATACACACACGTAATCATCAATTTGAGAGGGAATGGGATTTAGTTTTGATCCACTCATCTGGTAGAATGATGTATTTTTTGTATATTTATAAATTCCCTGTGTCTTATTGATACTATTTTTCTACTTTTATTCCATTTAAAATAGAAGTATTGAGTGGATATCTTTACTTTTTCTTCTCTTGGTCACAAAATTTCTAGAACTACTATAATATTAAGTATATATATATATATTATAGTAGTATAATATTAAGTTCTATAATAGTATTATAGAACTACTATAATATTAAGTATATATATATATATAATTTTTGAAAAGAATGTGAAGGTAAGTAAGTGGGGAAAAGGATGCTCCTTTGAGTAACTGGTGCTCAAGCATTCATAGGAAGAAAAGTCAATCTCATTCTAGATCTCATGTTATAAAAATACCAAGTCAAAATGGATTAGCAGTAAATATAAAATGTGTAATTATAAAACCACAAGAAGAAAATACCAGAAGTCTTTTACATCAACAGGTATTAGGCAGAGTTCTTAATTCTTACACAGATATATGTCTGCGCATACAACTAATAAACTCAACAAGAGTTCAAAGCATTTTCTCTGAGGAGCAAGATCTATATAATGAAAGCTAGAAGATGCAGTTGAAAAAAACTAAAGAAATCAAAAAACACAAATAGCAGGTAAGCACTCATGCTCATTTAGAAGACTTAATACGGTTAAGAAATCCTCACTAACCTAAGCTCTCTCTCTACACATTCAATTCACTCCCTACCAAACTATCAATGATTTGATTTTGTAGAAATAAAACATTCTACTCTAAAATATACATGGAATGTTAAGGGACCACCAAAATAGTCAAGACAATGTGAAAAAATACCATAAGTATTACATGTTATTACTTCCTGATTTTAAAACTTACTACAAAAATTAAAAGAGCATGCTACATTCCAGGCATGGTGGAACACACCTTTAATCCCAGCACTCTGGAGGGACAGGCAGGAGGATCTCTGTGAGTTTGAGGCCAGCCTGGTCTACAGAGTGAGTTCCAGGACAGCCAGGACTACACAGAGAAACCCTGTCTCGAAAGCAAACAAAACAACAGCATGCTACTGGCATAAAGCAGACACATATACCACTAAAAAGCCCAGAAATAAACTCTCATCCATAGGGTAAATAATCTTTGAACAGAGCAGTAATATCATTCAGTGCAGAAAGAATAGTCTTAAAAAAGAGGTCCTGGGAAAATTGAATAGCAACAAGTGACAGGATCCTTATCTTAAGCCATATGCAAAAATTAACTCAAAATGGATCAAAGACCTAAACAGCGCAAAAAACATAATAGCTCAGAAGATAACATAGAGGAAATGCTTTTTTATATTGGATTTGGCAATGACTTCTTAGATATGCTAACAGAAGCACATGATAAAGGAAGAAAAATGAGAAAACACCGTGCATTAAAGGATACTATGAAGAGTAAAAAGCAGAAACAGAACAAGAGAAAATATTTACAAATCATGTATCGGAGAAGTGATTGATATCTAGGTACTTGAATGGATATTTATTCATAGAGGATACATGGTCAAATAGTAATACAAATGAAAAAATACATAGTAGCACTCATTAGGGAAATGCAAATCAAAACCATAAGGAGATAGATACATCATGCTGTTTAAACTAGTGATTACCCAAAAAGAGAAAACCTAAAAAAATAACATGTGATCCTGAGAATTTAGAGAAATTGAAACTTTTGTACATTGCTGGTAGGAATACAAAATGACAGTCTATATAGAGGACAGTAGGGAGTGTCATCCAAAAATTGAACATAGAATTATTACAAGAGTCAGCAATTCCACTTCTGTGTATATACACCAAGAACTAAAAACAGATATCAAACATTTGCACACCAATGTTCACACCAGCATTATTCACAACAACTACAACATGGAAGTAATTGAAGTGTCCACTGATGAATGAATTGATTAAACAAAACAGTATGTATATACAATGGAATATTATGCAGCCTTAAAAAGGAATGGAATTCTGACACATGCTACAATATGAATCAGCAATGAAAACATTTATGCTAAGTAAAATAACCCAATCATAAAAGATAAATATTGCATGATTTTATTTACATGAGGTACATAAAACAGTCAAATTCACAAAAAGTAGAATGAAGATTGCTAGAAGGCAAAGGGTATAAGCTAAGTTAAAGTAGCTTTTAATGTGTATAACTTAAAAAGCTCTAGAAATGGGTGGTGGTTATAGTTAGAAAATATGTTAACACCACAGAAGCAAATACTCAAAAATGGTTAAAATAGTAAATTTGATGTTATGTAAATTTTAGCACAATTAAAAACATACTACTAAAAGAAAGAAATGACAAGCTCCAGACTGTGAAAAAATATTTGTAAAGCACATATCCAATGGAGGACTGTGTTTAGCATATATAAAGAAATCTCAAAAGTCATTAGGAAGGAAAAGAAATCCAATGGTAAAATGGCAAAGATGTGAACAGAAACTTTAGCAAACAGGATATAATGATGGCAAAAAAGCACATGGAGAGATGTTCAGCATCATTAGCCATTAAGAAAAGGCACATTGAAACAACAGGGAGGCAACACTTCACACCTATCAGAACAATCACAATAAATACTGACAATACCAAATGCTGACAAAGATGTAGAGCAAGTCAACTCTCATACACCATTGGTGGGAATGCAAAATGGTACAGCCACTCTGGAAAATGGTTTGGCAGTTTCATATAAAGTTAAATGTGCACTTACCATATGACCCAGTAATCCCACTTCTAGATATTTACCTTAGAGAAATAAAAACTTATGTTCACACAAAAACCTGCACAAGAATGTTAATATCAATATCATTCATAAAGACCATAACCTGGAAAACCCAAATCCACTTCAATACATGAATGGATATGGAATATCCATACAATGAAATGGGACTCCACAAAAATGAATGAGTTATTGATAAAAACAACAACTTGGATGAGTCTCAAAAGCATTATGCTGAGTGAAAGAAGCCAGCCTCACAAGGTTACACACTGCATGATTCCATTTATATGACAGTCTCTAAAAGATAAAGCAGAAGTAATGGCGATAAGTGATTGCCGGGAACTTGTAGGGAGCAATGGGAGTGACTCTAAAGGGGATTGATAGTATGAGGAGAGTTTGCCTGAGTGATGGAGCTGCTCCCTCTCTTGATTGTGGTGGTGGATACATGAAATCTACATGATTTTCAGTTCACAGAATTGTACACCAAAAAAGGCCCCATGCAATTTTACTGTAGGTTCAGTTCAAAATAAAATGCTAGTTATAATTATTATCATCATCACCAATAGTTATACTGACTAATGATATTCAGAATTATTTGTGCAATGGGATCTAAAATTCAGCATGAACAATGTATGTCTGGTACAATAAAGCTATAGAAGTAAAAACAAACTAAATGTAAAATCTTGACAACTTCTACTAACTCCTCTCTTTAATATTTCATATCAGGACAATATGTTCTCTCTAGATAATTCCTATAAACATTGTCATATAGTGAATATGGAATTAAATAAGTGCTCAACTTAGAAGTCTGGGACCCTAGTTTACATTCCTAAATCTAACACTGTAAGAAAACTCTCGACTTGCCTTTTGTGCCTAATTTTATCTTCCTCTTCATTGAGGTCATGTACTTGTCTGCACTTGTCTTTTTGTGGTATGCTGTGAAGGTTTAAAGTAAGGAGTTTCAAAGATAGGAAACAGAACAGAGACACACCCCCCACCCCCCACCCCAATAGCAGGTACTGCTCTGATTTCCATGTATTACCTCACTTAATTGTCCTAACAACTCCACATCACAGCTACTATTGATATTCTCATTTCACAGAGAAAGAACTGAAGTATAGAGAGGTACCCTTATCAGCATTTCACAACTAGTAAGTGGGGGAGCCAGGTTTTTCCCAGGCAGTCTGCTTCCAGAGCCTATGTCCACATTCAGTACGCCATGATGTCTCAGCACAGAAAGCTGTTCATTTGTTCCTTCCTCCCTTACCACTGCCCTGGCACCTGTATAGCCTAGTTTAACACACCATTCAATCTCTTACATGACTTTAACATACAGACCCAGTTCTGACTTCTCTCCTCAGCTTCACTGCTTCATTCCTGCATCAATATCTACATACGCTAATCCCGCCATCTTCACAAATTCAATCTGTTTAAATGAAATACACCATTTTTCTTCCAAATGTCCCCTAAAGACTGAATTTTACCCACTGTTAAGTTAGCCAGCTTTGAAATATCTGAGTTATCTCACCATACTCCTCTCCATTTCGTTCTCAGTCAATGACCCTCCTCCTTCATTCGCAGTCCACTGGCTTTATCAATTCTTCTTGTCACATCACATACAACTAATTCCACCTTTCCAGTTCCACTGTCGTCACTCTAGTCTAGATGTTAATAACTCAATGACTTGAATGCCATTCTTTCTCTCCCCTCTAATTCTTTGTTGGCCAGCACATTAATCATTTTCAAATACAGCTTTTATCATCCTACTATATTCAAACACATGAACCAAACAAACTAACTCCATATACCTCTGTCTTATCAAACAAATAAGAGCCAAGAATTCTGAGCTACCCTTTCAAGCTGATCTCTTAAAATGCCCCCAATTAACAATGCTCACACCAATCACTGCAACTGAAATGCTATTCTCTCTCCTGTCTAACAGATAGGGTTAAAAGAGTATTTAAATCTTACCTCTTCTGAGGCCTTCTTCACTCACACCAATAAAACTCTGAACTTCTGTGGCACTGAGCCAGTATATCTGGCATTACTGCTAAAGGGTACATGTGTGCATCTCCAAGCCGACTAGTACAAGGCTAGGAACCATTTCTTAAACCTTTTCTGTGTACCTTCCACCATGCCGAGTAAAATTAGCTGCTAAATGAATTCTTTCTGGCTAAGACACATACCGTTTATGTATGATTTTGCATTACTTTACAGTTCAGTCTAAAGACCCATCACAAGCTCACTTTATTTCCCTTTCATGTGTCAGACGTCATTCTCTGCCATACTCTGTTTCACTGCCACACTGAACTTCTTACTTTTCCCTACTTATACCAGGTCCTTTCATAGTATGGCTCCTATCCATTCACTAGCTGTAATGTCCTTTTCCTTTTACATAGAAAAAATAATGCCTGTTGCTTTGTTAAGCTAGTACAAATGTCAACCTCTGACTCCCCCAACTAGATTCGGATGCTCTGTGTTCTATGCCACCTTGACATTTGATTGAACTCTTTATAACACTTCCAATGGTGTCATGCAAGTAGCTCTACACACATTTGTGTCACCCGTGGGACTATATATTTCTCATGAGTAGTAACATCTTGTCTTTCACTAATTCCCCCTATCTAATGCCCTGATGTTAAACCTTTCTTTCAGTTAAAGAACATTTCAGAGTCAGTGAGGATCCCATACCTTGGTAATAAAGAGCCTTAAGGAAGGAGTGACGATCAGTTCCCTGAAATAAAGACTTTTCAATTTCCATTTCTCGCCGGGTCAGCTGTTTGCTCTTTGAAAACCTCTGTGGCAGGCAAAGGATGCGCTGGCGCTCTGAGATCCTTTCTTCAATATCTTGAAGCCGTTTCTGTATTGCTTCAGGAGTTGCCCTCAGCTTTGTCCTCTGAAACCAGGGAAATTAGATGCTTTGTATCAAAAAGCACAAAAGTAAATCTGAGACCTCATGTAAGAAAGCAGATGAGAAAGGCCCAGAAATTGGAAGTTGTTTTGTAAGTTTTAGTTAAGGGCTAGCCAACAACTTCTCTTTCGTCAATGTTTCTATCTTAAAAACAAAAGAAGATTTAGACTCAACACTCAGTTTCATGAAAACTAAAAACAACAAGGTTCTCAATGACAAAATAAAGCAACCACCATGTTGGGGAGTTCAGCTGTTCCGGCTTGCAGAAGACCATCCCAGCAGGACTGGCTGATGGTTTACACAGCCCGGCAGAGAGGCATAGGGTTGGGCACGAGCTTTTTCTCTAGGAAGGAACTTGTGGCTACGGGAAAGCCCTCACTGGTGTTGAGTAAGGCTTTCCTGGCATAGCTCACTGCAGGAGGAGTGCCCACACTCCTGTAAGGAGCCCTTTACCAAGGCTCTGAAAGGGAAGCTCAACAGACTCACTGGTTCTCTAGAGTGGACTTGGGCAGAACTGTGCCTTAGTTTATCCACTTGTTGTTGGGATCTTGGGAAGATGGGCAGATGTTGCTTTAAGTCTCCCTTACGGAATGAATTTTATCAACACAGGCACACACACATACATAAATGAAAATAAAGAGATCATATTAAGAAAACAGCTTTACCGCTATATATATATAGCATGGAGGTCCCTAAGACGACTGTGGCTTATAATAAATTTTGGTTTTACTCAATTATAGGAAGATACTAGATGTGGAACAAGGATGACTGGACTGCTACTCACATCACCAGTGAGGCTACCTGGAAAACAGGACCCCAAGAAAGACACGGAGAAATGGAAGAGATCTACATGAACAGCCTGGACATGAGTGGGAGCAATGAAGAGCAAGGGTCGAGGGAAAGAGAGCGGGAGATCTTAGCTGGATCAAGAAAAGAGAGGGAGAACAAGGAATAGGAGACCATGGTAAATGAAGACCACATGAGAAAAGGAAGAAACAAAGAGCTAAAGAGGCCCACAGAAATCCACAAAGATACCCCCACAAAAGACTGCTGGGAATGGCCGAGAGACAGCCGGGACTGACCTACTCTGGTGATGGGATGGCCAAACACCCTAATAGTTGTGCCAGAAACCCCATCCAAGTACTGAGGAATCTGGATGCAGACATTCACGGCTAGACCCCGGGTGGAGCGCTGGGAGTCTAATTAGTGAGAAAGAGGAGGGTTTATATGAGCGAGAATTGTTGAAACCAAGGTTGGATAAAGCACAAGGACAAATAGCCAAATGAACAGAAACACATGAACTATGAACCAAAGGCTGATGGGCCCCCAGCTGGATCAGGCCCTCTGAATAGGTGAGACAGTTGATTGGCTTGATCAGTTTGGGAGGCAACTAGGAAGTGGGACCAAGTCCTGTGCTCATTGCATGAGATGGCTGTTTGAAACCTGGAGCTTACGCAGGGACACTTGGCTCAGTCTGGGAGGAAGGGACTGGACCTGCCTGGACTGAGTCTACCAGGTTGATCGAAGTCCTCGGGGGAAGATTTGCCCTGGAGGAGATGGGAATGGGGGGTGGGCTAGGGGTAAGGGGAGGGGGTGGGAAGGGGGAGAATAGGGGAACCCGTGGCTGATATGTAGAACTGAATGGTATTGTAAAATAAAATTAAAAAAAAAGAAAACAGCTTTACCTTTTCACCTGAAACATGGCTTTTCCAGATCAATATTTCTGTTTCATTGAGCCCTAGTTCCCTGAGAGAAGCAGTTTCCTGGTCTTTTTCATGTAGTGTCTGGAACTGGGACAAAGTCATTGTCCCAGCTGCTTCCTTCCCAAAGGGCTTGTACATAGTACCTGGGGCAAAGCTCTCTTTCTTAGAGACACATCTGCAAAATACGAAAGAGAGTAAGAACATCTGGTGGCTACAATTCACAGTAACCACATTCTGATTGTGATGGGGCCTATTATAAGGGGTCCACTGAAGCGCATACTCTAAGTCTCTCTTACATTCTTTTGCCAGGGTGAAGCACCATGGCAACAAAATGGAATTCCATGAACAGCCCCCAAATATCCAGGACTAATAAATGACTAAATTAACAAAGTTTATTGAGTACCTGATATGCATTAGATGCTGTGTTCTATACTGAAAGATAACAGTAAAAAAAAAAAATCAAGGGGCTAGAAATATGGTAAAATAATTAAGAGCTCCATTGCTCTTGCAGAGGACCTGGGCCAGTTCCCAGCACCCACATGGCAGCTCACAACCACCTCTAACTCCAGTTCCAGATGATTGGAAACCCTCTGGCCTCTGCAGGCAGTGGCACGCATATGGTTCACATAAATTCCCCCCCACCCCACCCATACACACAAAATAAATCTTCTAAAAAAAATATCAAAAGAACTGCCACCTATATAAAGAATAGCAGAAGGGAGGCAACTAAATAGGAAATGACCATATAGAATAATAAATGCCATGTTAGGGGAAATACAGGGTTCTTTACTAGAACAAAGAACCTGGTCTAGGCTTAATAAGATATAGGAAGCTTCCTACAAATAGACACAAGAGCAAAATCTGACCCATATAAAGAGGTCTTCCAAAGAAAGCGGCTGTGTGAGAGTGCAGTGCTACCATCAGGCTTTAAGAGGGATGTACAACCTGGGTGAGGGTCTATTATAATCTCCCTGCTTACAAATCAATACTCACTCTTCAATGGAGACAGAGGTATCCAGTTGATGTTGAAGGAGGCTCTTCAGCTGCCTCTCCCCTTCTGTCTCCAGCTCTTCCAGGACATGCTCTTCATTCTTCACACAGCTATTTACCCTGGTGCAGATGTAAAACACACAGCACACACTCATAAACAAAAACAGAGGGAAAGTAGAAGAGACATGTAATCTGAATATATTCTCCTCATCTATATTACCTATCAGTGATTCATTTGATCAAAGGCATTTCTTCAACATTCCACTGCCCTGAGTATTCATTACACAAACATTTACTGAATGCCTATGTACACAACAGGCATTATGCTAGCTACTTGTCCTGGCTGGTTTTATGTCAAATAAACACAAGCCAGAGTCATTTTGGAAGAGGAAACCTCAATTAAGAGAATGTTCCCATCAAACCAGCCTGTGGGCAAGCCTATGGTATACTTTCTTGATTAATAATTGATATGTGAGGACCACACTAACTCTGTGTGGTGCTACCCCTGGGCTGATGGTCCTAAGTGCTATTTAAAAAAAAAGCAGGCTATAAGCAGCATTCCTCCATGGCCTCTTCATCAGATCTGCTTCCAGGTTCCTGCCCAGTTTGAGCTCCTGCTCTGACTTCCCTCAGTGATGGACCATGACCTGAGAGTTGTAAGCCAGAATGAACCCTTTCCTCCCCAAGTTGATTTTGGTCATGATGTTCTATCACAGCAATAGAAAACTTAATTAAGACACTACTTGTGGAAGCTAAAGATATTCCGAGCATAGTTTTGATCAAGGTATTTGTAATATATTTAGGAGAAGACGTATATACTCCTGTGCTGTGTCCATGTGCCTACAAAGAGAAGGAATCTGAATAAATGATAGAGAAACATGCCCAAATTAGTAAACGCTTGCAGAAGAAAGGGGTAGACGGGAGCTAAAATAGTAAAGAAGATTTCAGAAAGAGATTCTTAAATTGGTGTTTAAAAGACTGGGTGTGACAAAGAAAAGAAGTGGGAAGCCAAAATACGAAAAGACGGAAACACATAATGTGGTATAATTGGAACCTCCATTTATATTCAGGCTTTGAATAGCCTTAAATACATCAACTAATGTTCTGGTCTGGACCAGACCTGAGCATATTAGGTATTAGAAAACAATTTATCATGCCATTAGGTGTCAAAGAGTAAGCAGTGTTTTAGGCCATATGGATTGAAAGGTAACTAGAATAACTAGTTAAGAAACCACTGAGGTAAAAGGCAAGGAAGTTCTAGACCAGGGCAGTAATAGCAGAAATACAAAGGAGGGATTAAATGAGAGAAGTCTTTTGGAGGAGGATGTTAAGAAAGTAAAATACAAGCTGGGCGGTGGTGGCACACACCTTTAATCCCAGCACCCAGGAGGCAGAGCCAGGCGGATCTCTGTGAGTTCGAGGCCAGCCTGGTCTCCAAAGCGAGTTCTAGGAAAGGCGCAAAGCTACAGAGAAACCCTGTCTCGAAAAACCATTGAAAAAAAAAAAAAAGAAAGTAAAATACACAAATAAATAAATAAACACAAACACTCAAATTTCAAACTGTTGGTACAGTTTGACAGAATGTTGGTCCCAATGAAGGAAAACAACTCCAGATGGAATAAATGCCTAGGAAAGGGAAAGGCAGTGTCATTAATACCCACACTGACTTGACCATCTCTTCCAACCTGAAACGCTGGCATCAAGTATACTTCCAAGACACTGAGTCTGAGGAACCAACAAAAATGGCTCGCTAAAAGGAAAGTGAATGATGACACATTCCTACAGGGGGGACAGTCTAAGGGTGACCAAGAGAAATCTGAAGCCACCTGTGTACACAAGATCTGGAGACATTAGGAAGTCTGAAGGAAGAGCAGGAAATCTAAAGGGTGTCTTAACAACGCTTTAGCCCAGACACTACTGTGTAGAAAAGCGGATCATGGCTGTGAGGCAATCTCAAGTCACTGAAAACTCTTACTAAGTACCAAGAAATAACACAACCATTTAATCATGTAATAATAGAGTAGGAAAGAAACAAACACAAAAAGTGAGCTAAATCCATGAGAAAAATAAATATTATGTTTCTTACAAAATAATAGCAAAATATATTATAGAAAAATTACTATTTCTTACAAAACAGACCTTGTCTACTGGGGTTTATAATAAAGTATAGGAAAAGCCCTGTAATTATAAGATTCCTATAAAGACCTGGATCTATATTTTAAAAATTCTAAAATAACTTACTTTGGAACTAAGGCTTAAAAAAAACCTCTTTAAGCCTTTCTATCTTTATGATTTAGAATCCCAAACAGTTATTGCTAAATTTAATTTCTAAAAATGAATACGCATATCAACACACATGAATCTATAGAAAAATATTGTGTTAAAAAAAAAGCTTGCTCCAGAAAAAGAAAGACAGTATGCTCCCATTTATATAAGGCTAAAAACCAGATGAAACTAGGAATATTTTGTTCAAGGCTTAAACTCATATGTGGAAAATAGATTAAGAAACAAAACAAAGCCGGGCGCGGTGGTGGCGCATGCCTTTAATCCCAGCACTCGGGAGGCAGAAGCAGAGGCAGAAGCAGGCAGATCTCTGTGAGTTCGAGGCCAGCCTGAGCTACAGAGTGAGATCCAGGACAGGCGCCAAGCTGAAACCCTGTCTCGAAAAACCAAAAAAAAGAAAAAAAAAAAAGAAAAAAGAAAAAAAGAAAAAAGGCAAGGGAGTAATTGGTGCAAAATCCTAGATAAAAGAGGGAGAAGCAATTACGGAAGAGCCAGGGGGGGCTTCTTTAAGGTATGTATGTGAATGATGTCCTACCGCTTACACCTGTACAGAATTTTATTTTTGATTATTCTTTAAGCTATACATTAGATCCATTATTTTTCACTTACGAGGTATGTCATCACAGAATAATTAAAATGTGATTTTAATTAAGGCAGGGGACATCAATAACTCAAAAAAAAAAAAAAAAAAAAAAAAATAAAAAAACTCAGGAAACTAAGAAAGCAGAAAGCGCCGGGCCGTGGTGGCGCACGCCTTTAATCCCAGCACTCGGGAGGCAGAACCAGGCAGATCTCAGTGAGTTCAAGGTCAGCTTGGTCCACGGAGTGAGTTCCAGGACAACCAAGAATGTTACACAGAGAAACCCTGTCTTGAAAAACCAAAAAAAAGAAAAGAAAAGAAAAGAGAAAGCAGAAAGCATTCCTAAACATGTCAGTTGGGCCTCACTGTTCCAGAGTGAAGATTCTCCTGCAGAGTGAATACAAATCTAAAGGGGATCCTTTCTGAAGGATTCCCGTCCTGTCGGTACCTGTGAAACTCTGGGTCTCAAGGAGGACCGTCTGGGGTGCAAAGGGCCATTTACTACAGAACCGGTAGGGAAAACTGCCCGGAAGCAATACCTTTCTTCTTCCCAAACACATCGCGCCGGTTTTGTGCTGAATTTGGAGAAACAAAGTATCACTCTCTAACTTTTAGATCTGGAAACACGACCCTGTGTGGTGGGCCCAACTATGTCTTTAACATGCAGACAATGTAAGCGCCCACCGTGAGACCCTCCGGACGGACGGCGAGAGCTGGGGGGCGGGCCAGGGAGGAGCTGGGTTGCAAGTCTCCCGAGCTGGGACTGTGATGGCCAAGGCAGCTCCAGGGGCCTCTGCCCAGGGGGAGGCATTCCTATGGAAACCGGCCGGGCCGCGGCCCTTCCAGAGCTTCACCCAACAGACTGGTCCGGCCGGCCTTCCCTCCTCCCTTCTCCTTTGTCTCCTCGCTAGAGAGAACCCGCCCCTCGAGAACGTGACACATCCCAAACAAAAGGAAAAGGCCATTTTCAAAAAGTAAAAGATAAAAGTTGCCGCCTGCAACTCAGACATGCCCTTACCTCTTCATGTTTCCGCAGGCCCCTATCACTAACTTGGGCAAATAGGCCCCAGACCTCAACTCCCAGAAATCTATGCGGCAGACTCAAAAGAGGATGGAGGTGGAGCAAGGGACTCTGGGAATTGTAGTAGCACAGAGAAAGTCAGTCTTGGGTGACTAGTATAGTGTCAATTAAGAATTTCTAGTACAGGTTAAAGAGAACACCCAAAATATAAACCTCATGAACCTAGGATTCACCTATGGCTTCTTGACTCTTCCCCCGAGTATCAGTAAATCGTAGATCTTCTCTAATCACCTTCGAATTTGTTCCTGTCAGCAAGGCTTCTCTTGCAAGGATTTATCTGACCTACCTGCTGTTTCCAGTCAAGCCTACAGTCTGACCACATCACTTACACTAATGTTTTTCTCTTATCTGTAACAGATCATTCTGAGTTCCCTTAGTTCAAAGTCAGAATCAGTATGTACCCAGGTGTGGGGATATTTTGTTTGTACTCTAACAAATATCAAAGGACAGAGCCACCCACTAGATTAAGCATAGATGCCAGGCAGTAGTGGCACACACCTTTAATCCTAGCACTCAGGAGGGCAGACTGCAAGGTCAAAGACACCCTGGACTAAACGAGATAAATTCAGTCTAAAAGAGAAACAGAGCCAGGCAGTGGTGGCACACACCTTTAATCCCAGTACTTGGGAGTCACAAGCCTTTATTTCCAGCACTAGGAAGGTTGAGACAGGAAGTGATATGGCTGGGCAGAGAAAGGAACATAAGGCCAGAGGAGGCAGGAATTAGAGCCCTTTTGGCTGAGGACTCAGAGGCATTCAGCCGGAGGATTCGTGGAGACAGGATCTCCCCTTTCGGCCGAGGAGCTGGCGAGGTGAGAAGTGGCTGTGGCTTGTTTCCTCTGATCTTTCAGCATTTACCCTGATATCTGGCTCTGGGTTTTTATTATAAGACCAGTTAGGATTCGTGCAACACCCAAGCTTTTGAGTATCTTATTGATAAATACATGGAATCAAGAGTTAGATATAGTAGGGACTGGAGAGAGATGGCATGTGGTGGTATTGTGTTCCCCAAAATATCGTGTACCTTAATAAACTTATCTGGGGTCAGAGAACAGAAAGGCCACTAGTTAGGCGGTAATAGCACACGCCTTTAATCCTAGCATTCCAGAGACAGAAATCCATCTGGGATCTCTGTGAGTTCAAGGCCACATTGGAAACAGCCAAGCATGGTGACACACACCTTTAATCCCAGAAAGCCAGCCTTTAATCCCAGAGAGTGGTGGTAGAAAGCAGAAAGATATATAAGGTGTGAGGACCAAAAACTAGCAGCATTTGGCTGGTTAAGCATGTGGCTGGTTAAGCTTCAGGCTTTCGAGCAGCAGTTCAGCTGAGATTCATTCTGGATGAGGACACAGAAGCTTCCAGTCTGAGGAAACAGGACCAGCTGAGAAGTTGGCCAGGTGAGGTTAGCTGTGGCTTGTTCTGTCTCTCTGATCTACCAGCATTGACCCCAATAACTGGCCTCAGGTTTGATTTTATTAATAAGAACTTTTAAGATTCATGCTACAATGGCACTTGTTTCTCTTTCAGTTTCCACACAGTGGCTCACAGCTGTCTGTAACCCCAGTTCCCAGGCTCTGATGCCTGTTTATGGGACACCAGGTACACACATGGTGCACATACATACATGCAGACAAAACATGCATACACAGAACATAATTTTTTTAAAGATCCATATAAAAAAGTGTTTAAAAGCATTGGTTCTTGGGTTTAGGGATCTAGCTCAATCTGTAAAGTGCTGGCACAAAGCCCCCAGTATGTGGAATACTTGTTTGGCTAGACACCAAGTTCAAGACAAGTCTGGACTATATTAGACGAATTTCAAAAATAACATCAATAACAAAAACAATCAACCATGTGTTCTTAATGGCCAAAAAAAAGGAAATGCAAATATCCCTAAACATATGGAAAGAAAGATGTTAATTTATAAGACAGAAATTTCAAGCTACATTACATAGTTCAAGGCCAGGTAGTTCTACATACTTAGAGACTCTCTAAAGAAATCAACAAAAACAAACAAAGCCAAAAATATAAAACAAAGTGCAGTGACCCACCAAACTGTCAAGGCCATAAACAAAGGAGAATTCTGAGACTCTCTCACATTCATAAGGAAACAAGGGAAAGATGATTTCTAAGTGTATTGTAGGATTCTGAAACAGAAAGAGGACACTAGGCAAACATAAATAAACTATGCTTTCTATTTAATAAGGTTCATTAGCTGTGATAAATACACTGTATTGTGTAAGATGTTAACACTAAGTGAAATTGAGCAGAAATACGTGGAACAGTGGATATGAAGCTTTTACGTAAATCTAAAACTATTCTAAAACTTATTATTTTTTAAAGGTACCCTAAATAGCACTTTTTTTTACTTGCTACATAGGAAAGGATAAAAAAGAAAGACAATGCATTTGTTGACATTCTGGTGAAACGGGCACCCTCACCTACTGCTGGTAGGAGGATAAATTGGCATAACCTCTGCAAAGAGCAACTTGATGTCACAACTGAAATTTCAGTGCCCATTTCCTTTAAAGCAGCAATTCAGCATATCTACAAATACTCTTCTCAACACAATAAATACTCATCTATGTGCATTGCTGTTCAATGCTGTCTATAGCAGAATACTGGGGGGAAACCTTAAATATTTAAATATAGCCAATGAAATCTATGTAATAATGAAAAGGTGGTAAACTTCTCTGGATTATTACAATCTTTAAACAATACCTAGTAAAATAGCAAGTTTCAGAATACCATATAGTACGCTTACATATGTGTAAAAGGTGGAATATGTATATGCCTGTACATGCGTGAAATATTTTTGTGAGAACATATGACATTCCCTGTTCTCCAATTAACAAAACTCAATGGTTGAAGGACAAGAAGAGAAAGAAAAAAATACAACTAAATTCTTCATATGTTTTGTCCCTATTGAAATTTTTATTGTTATATTGAGACAGGGGTTTTTTTGTTGTTGTTTTTGTTTTTTTGGGTTTTTTTTTGGTTTTTCGAGACAGGGTTTCTCTGTGTAGCTTTGAGCCTTTCCTGGAACATACTTGGTAGCCCAGGCTGGCCTCGAACTCACAAAGATCAGCCTGCCTCTGCCTCCCGAGTGCTGGGATTAAAGGCGTGCGCCACCATCGCCTGGCTTGAGACAGGGTTTTTGTATGACGCTCAAATTGGCCATTACCTTGTGATCTTCCCACGTGAGCCTCACAAATATTGGGGTTACAGGTGTGTGCCAAGCATGCCCTTATATACTTTGAATATTTTGTTTGTTTTTAGAGACGGTTTCTCTGTGTAACAGCCTGGCAATCCTGGAACACTCTTTGTAGACAGGCTGGCTTCAAACTCGCGGAGATCCCCTTGCCTCTGCCTCCCAAGTGCTGGGATTAAAGGCCTGTGCCACCACTGCCCATGTCCTTTGAATTTTTAACTGTATGACTGTCTCACCTAGTGTGACTGGTTTTGTGTGTCAACATGACACAAGCTAGAGTCATCAGAGAGGAAGGACCCTCAGCTGAGGAAATGCCTACTTGAGATCCAGCTGTAAGGTATTTTTCTCATTTAGTGATCAATGAGGGAGAGTCCTGGGCTGCTGGTCCTGGGTTATATAAGAAGATGTGCTGAGCAAGCCATGGGGAACAAGCCATGGACAGCAAGCCAGTAAGCAGCTCCCCTCCATGGCCTCTGCATCAACTTCTGCCTCCAGGATCCTGCGTTGTTTGAGTTCCTGTCCTGACTTCCTTCTGTGATGAACAGCAATACTGAAGTGTAAGCCAAATAAACCCTTTCTTCCCCAACATGCTTTTTGGTCATGGCGTTTTGTCGCAGCAATAGAAACTCTAAGACACATAGTTGATTCTTTTTTAATTAAATAGAACCCTTATCTCAGGAGCCAGGTGAGAAAAAAATATCTTGTAGACTTTGGGGTTCACACTACTTGGGTTTAGATTCAAGTTCTTGGTTACTGACTATATACCATAACAGAGTTTTGAACCAATCTGGGTATTAAATTTTTGTTTTGCCAAGTTAATGGAATATGAGTTTCAGCAAATTTCTTTAACTGGTTTAATTCAGCTTCCTCATAAGAGGAAGTAAAGTACATAAATAAAGTGATATCTCAGTGGTTCTCAGCCTGTGGGTCATGACCCCCACAGGGGCCATATATCAGTTATTTACATTACAGTTCATAACAGTAGCAAAAATATACTTATGGAGTAGCAACAAAAATAATTTTAGGGTAAGGGGTCACCACAACATGAGGAAAAGGGTCACAGCATTAGAAAGGTTGAGAACCACTGCTTCAGAATAGGCAAATGTGAAGCTTTATGTAAAATAATACTTTTGTACGATTTTAAAGCTTTTCCATGACAGGGTGGTTATCTATGAGTAAATATTCCAAGGTTATCCAGCAAGTTCACACTTGCTCAAAGTCCTTGACACTGTCATGTTCAAGTCAGCAGCTACTGGAACAAAATGAGTTTTAGAACCATACTTCTTGAGAACTTCTAGTAGATTGAAAATATGTCAGGTATTAAAGTAATCCAAAATCTACCAAATGCAAATGCCAGTGCTCTAGAAGCACCCTGGTACAGAAATGCAAATACAACATACATCACTTTGTAGTTTTGACACAGACTAAAGACTGCACGTAAGTATAAACAAAATGTGGGTCACATCCTCTTTGAGTTGGACATATTCTTTAAAGAGGTGGGGTTAACTCTGGCATTCAGCCAAACTGTCTGCCTGACCAATTTGTCAATAGGAAAATGGAAACACATAGCAAGGTTGTTAGTGTGCTTGACTTCTTGGAAGGGTGGATCATTTTACCATCACAGTAAGTTTGTCTAGTTCTAGTCAAACCTAGTCTACAGATATTGGAGTGACACACACTTCAAAGCAAATCTTTTCCCAAGTGGGGTGAGTGGAGAAGGGACGGCTAAAAGACAGTTATATGGCTGTGGAATTGCAAATGGATAGCAAGGTTGTGAAAAGTATTCTACGTATCTGTATATAACTGCAACCAACCCCAATGGTAGGTGTAGCAGAAATCTTAAAAAGTCCTTATTAATAAAATCAAACCTGAGGCCAGTTATTGGGGTGAATGCTAGAAGATCAGAGAAGCAGAACAAGCCACAGCTACCTCACCTCGCCAGTTCCTCATCTGATCCTGTTTCCTTAGACTGGAAGCTTCTGAGTCCTCATTCCAATGGATCTCAGCTGAACTGCTGCTCGAAAGCCTGAAAGCTTAACCAGCCAAATGCTTCTAGTTCCTGGTTTTCATGCCTTATATACCTTTCTGATTTCTGCCATCACTCCCTGGGATTAAAGGCTCACTTCTTGGGATGAAGCTTGAGTCACCATGCTTGGCTGTATCCTTGAACACATGGATTTCTGCCTCTTGAATGCTAGGATTAAAGGCGTGTGCTACCACTGCCTATCCTCTATGCTTATAATATTGTGGTTATTCTGTCTCTGACCCCAGCTAAGTTTATTAGGGTGCACAATATTCTGGGGAACACAATACCACCACAGGTAGGTACCGAGGGATATCTGGAAAACACTAGAAGGAATGCCATTGTACTTCTAGCTCTGTCAAACTAAGATGTACTAGCGATTCCATTTTCACAGCATCCCTTTCCCCATCTTAAAATCGTATCAGACAGTCTGTAAAAGCTTTTTAAGACCTTAGGAATTACATACCTTATGATGAGTTAATTTCAAAAATTCCCCTCTCAAATTTATGACAAACTGAAAAATATGCCAATCTGCAAGGTTAGTTTAGTTAAGCCAAAAGTTGCTCTTTAACAAATAAGCCATGTTTTCAGGCTGTTTACTAAAGGAGCTTTGTTTACTGTATGCGTCTGGTTCTACCACATGGAAAACATTAAAAATCAAAATGTTCTCTTGAATCTATGATCATCTAATATTAAGATGTGTATGGCTTTCAAGTTCCTCAAATGCATCTTCTTAAAGGAGAGAAAGATGACTATGTTTTGAGAAGAAGCCATGACATCACAAAGGTTAAGAATTTTCATTCAGTTAGTATCTGAGCTAGGGGGCTGGAGATGGAGAGATGGCTCAGAGGTTAAAAGCACTGGCTGCTCTTCCGAAGGAGCCAGGTTCAATTCCCAGCACCCACATGGCAGCTCACAACTGTCTTGTAACTCCAGTTCCAGAGGACCTGGCACCCTCACACAGACATACATGCAGACAAAACACCAATGAACATAAAATAAAAATACATTACTGAAAAAAAAATCCGAGAGCAGTAACAATGGTTGCCTTAGTATTCTTGGCAAAATGAGTTAACTAACATTTGTTTAAGCAATGTCATATCTTTTAGACAAGTTAGAACCAGAATCAAATGTAACTTAGGGGAGCTTTAGTCTAAGGGTCCAAATTTCAGATGGTACACTGGGGTTAGTGGGTTAATCTGGAAGCCACTTGCCACTCTCTGGGATCTTTTATGTATTAGGGGTCAAAAATACTACAAATCCCAGGAAAGATATTCCAAAAGATAGTGTAAACAGAACTTCAGCTTCTTCTCTACTTTATATAGGAAATTTGCAAAAAGTACTCTGCCAGTGTTTAAAAAGAAGAGGACCACAAAACTTAGGAGACTTGAAAACTAGTCTATCCTCAGAAAACAGTTGGAAAAACATAAATCAAGTTTTCCTTTTTGTAGAAAAAAATGTTGCTCAAGATGATTTTTTTTCTTGAATTAGGCAAAACATAAGTTTAAAACCAGAATTTCATGTAAAACATTATATTGTCTTTACTGAATGTGGAACCTCACTTATATGTGGGCTATTATACCAGAGTTTTATTGAGGAAAAATGAGGACTTTTGTCCTTATCTAGGATATATTGGTAATAATATTGAGCTTCAAAAATTATAGATTACTCAAAATTCTACTTTAAAGTGTGTGTTTACCTTAAAAAGTCTAGAAGCTTTAATAGTCTGCATTATTCTCTCTCATTATTCCCGTTACCTCTCTCTCTCTCTCTCTCTCTCTCTCTCTCTCTCTCTCTCTCTCTCTCTCTCTCTCTC